CTCCTCATCTGTCACCAAGCCCAGCCCTGGACCCCAGGCTGCTCCTCTTCCCAGCAGCCCACCCTGGGAACTCACCCCAAATTCGAGAAAACCTAGATACCCTCGAGGGCCAATGGGGCCAGGACACACGCCCAAGGGGTGCTCTGAACACCAAGCCCGGCAGTCCTTGGTACTCCAGCCTGCATCACTCATAAGGCACACACATGCCTTCTGCCCGTGGGGCCGCTCAGGGGTCCCAGAAGACCCCTGTCTCTGCTTCCCTCCCAGCTCCCAGCTCTCCCCTGTTGTCAGCACTCCTCCCTCTCCCTGTGGACTCACTCCCTGGGAGGCACTGAGTCTCAGGAGCCCCCCATGTGCAGCCCTTCCTGCAGGGGCTTAGTCACCCAGCATATGGGGTCGGGGAGGGCTGGTGCTCAGTGCTGGAAGTAGGCTCTGCTGGGCTAGGGCTACCCAGGTGCACATGCATGTAGAGCCACAGTGGAGCTCACAGGTACATGTGTGTACACACACAGTCACATAAGTGCACACAGACACATGTGCACAGGCACATTGGAGCCCACAGGCACATGCACACATGTACACACACATGCAGTCACACATACACAGACACAATGCAGAGGCACACAGGCACACTGGCACATACACATACACACATGGAACCATACATTTACACACACAGACATCCACCTGCACAAACTCATGAGCACCCATGTACATGCACATGCTGTGGATCTACACATCCACGGCACGCTCATCCGTGCACACTTACTGGTAGGCACAGACATGAACACATGCACGTGACACACTAGCGAGGTCACACACTTCTCTTCTGTGGGCCCATGGGTATTGGTGGCCTCTTGCAAAGGGGAGCTCAGAAAGCTGTGTCCCAGTCTGGGTGGGGCAGGGGGAGTGCGGAGACCCCAGGTCCGCCAGAGTCAGGTTCTGTGCTCGGGTGGAAACTGCCACAGCCCCTAGCCTGCCCCAGGTGGATGGGCCCCACGCTGTCCCTCTGCCCCGACACTGTCAGATGCCCAGCAGTGCCCCGACACCCCATCCTCCCCTCAACTTGCCCCAGCTGGAGAGGCTGTCAGGGATCTTGGTGGTGGTGACCTCAGGGCCAGCACTCCTCCTCCCTGGAGCTTCAGAGCCTGAACAAAGCTTTCAGAGCTGGGCTCGGCAGCAGTGACCGTAGACCTGGCACAGCCCCATCACACGTTGGGCCTAGGGTGCCTCAGGTTCTTGGCTGATCCTGCCTGGTGGTGGGAACCAGAGCACAGGCCACAGCCAGCCCAGCTCCCTGAGCCTCACAGGAAGGTGGAGCCCCAGGCTCGTCCACCCCAGGACATCCTCCCTCACCACCTTGGCGGGGCCCTGACCTTCCTGAGCCTCAGTTTTCCGGTCTGGCTCAGTCATTGCTTGGTAGAGGTGACCTCCACCCCCTTTTTTTTTGGTACTGGGGATCGAACTCAGGTCTTTGTGCTTGCGCAGCAGGCGGCAAAACCACTGAACTAAATCCCCAGCCCAGAGGTGTCTCCCTCTTGAGGAAGGCCCTGCCCGTTTATCCAGGAGCGAGCCCCCCGCTCCCTGGCTGACTTTGGGGCACAGCCCTCTGGGAGGGGCTTCATGCAGGTGTCTATGACTGAGCAGGGCCAGCCCTGTCTGCTCTGGCTGGCCCGCCCTGCCTGACTGCTGGGGAACCCAGGGTGGGAGCGGTCTCCTGGAAGCCACATGCTGCAACTGCCCCCCACATGAGTTTCTGCAGATAGGAGAGACTCACTGGGCTCCCCAGGGCCCTGCATCCCTCAGCCTAAGCTAGGAGTTGGGGTAGAGAGGGCTTCCCAGGCTCCTCTCTGACCCCTTGGCTGAGCCCTCTCCCCCAGCAGCTGCTCCCTGACACCCTCAGAATGACCCCAGGAGCTCCCTGCAGCTCCACGCAGAGGCCCTGTGTATCTTGGGCCAGGGCATCCAGCCACAAGTTCCCTCTTCCTGCACTGCTCCTCCCGGGCCCTGAGTGGTGCCAGCAGACACGGCCTGGCACAGGGAGGCCATGTGTGGGTCACCGTGACCCAGGCTGGGCCTGTGCCCAGCTCCTCAGCCCTGCCTGACAGCTCCGTGTGGCCAGCTGTGAGCTTGCAGCTGTGCCCTGTGCTTCCTCTGGTGCCTGCTAAGGTCAGGGTTCCAGGGGGGTCCCGGAATCACTTCCCCTTGTAGTGCCGCTTTGGTATCAAAGCCCTGCCAAGGTTTCATTTCTGGAGCTGTCTTCATAAGGCCCCCCATGCAGGAGGTTGGTTCGGGAAGCACTCTGCCTCCTGCCTCCTCCGAGATGCTGCGCTGGCCACGGGCCTGGTCGGTGATGGGGCCAGTGGGGGAGGACATTGTGGTGGCAAGAAGGGAAACCCTAAGCTGAGGCCCAAGCCAAGCTTTGCAACCTCAAGGGCACTGGGCTTTGACCCATTTTGTGACTCAGCAAACAGCAATTTACCACCCTCACAGCAGAGGACTGCACCTGTCCAGGGTCCCCCAAGAGCAGAGGTTTCCAGAACTCGACTGAAAGACGCCTTTAGATACAAAATCAGCAAAAATGGCTGAAGGTGCAGTACTAGGCTCCATGGTGATAGGGTCTCACCCAGCAGAGAACAACCAGAGCCCCAGATCTGGTATAAGAAAAGCAAAGTGAGGATACACAGCTTCCAGGGGCAGGCGCAGGCAGCAGAAGGAAGGAGGAAACCAGGAAACCTAACCCTGAGGAGGCAGGACAGGGCTGAGGTCACCCCAACCTCTACTCCAGCCCCCACACCCCCAGGGCCAGGGTGTGGGCCTCAGGGAAGGTCAGGGTCTCATTCTGGTCGAGAGGCCCTGGGCTTGAGGCATCTACTCTTCCACACCCTGGGTGGACCCAGGGCTCTACGGACTGCAAAATGCAGCCTGGACGGGCACGCCAGACCTCTGCTGGGGGTGTTGGAGGCACCATGCCAGCTGTCACTGTGAGCCCTGAGGGCATGAGTGCAGGGGTACACACATCACCTGACCTCAGTGGCCAAGGGGTGCTGCTACCCTGGCGCCACACAGTCTGTGGCGTGGGCGCCGAGCACCTCCAGTCCTGCCCCACCCAGGAGCCTCAAGACTGAAGCAGACTCTGCTGGCCCCCATGTGGATCACCCAGGCCTTCTGGGGTACAGGGGCGTCTGCGGGCAGGGTTGGGGTGCCAGACACAGTCCAGGGGGCGGGTCCCCCAAGGTGGGCAGCCCAGAGGCCAGGACAGCAGTCCGTAAGGTGCCTTGAGAGGAGCTGCTTAAGGCCACGGGGACCACAGCACCCTCCTGACTCGGTGCCCACTCCCAGCCCCGATGTCCTGTGGCACCACGGACTGACACTCAGTCACTGAGCCAAACGAAACCATCCTCTCAGTTGCTATCTAAGGCCTATCGTCACCGTGATGCAGAGGTGACAGCATGGATTCCTGGCATCTCGACTCGAAATCCAGCCCTGGAATTCCACCTGTCTCCAGACCTGAGGCTTCTCTGCACTCATGGCTGGGGTGCCCCACAGCTACCATGCCCCACGGGCGCCCCTGTGGACTGCAGCTGGGAGGCTGAGGAAGGACCTGGGCCATTCAGGGTTCTGGCCCTGCCTCTACCCTTGGGGCTCAGCAGCTTCTGATGCAAGGGGGCCCACAAGGTTCCTGCCTCTGTGGGCCTCAGTTTCTCCACGGGCAACACGGGTGGAGAGCCCTTGCCTGGAGGAGCTGAGGGGTGGCCCCACGCTGGGTTGCACGGGCTGACAGGGTGGGAAAGAGGTGCTCAGAGTAGAAACCAAAGTGCCACGGGGGGTGCTGAGAAAGTCCCCGCTCCCCCTTCTCCCGGGGGGTCTGGGCTGGATGGGCTCCACAGTCCAGCACATTCCTACAGGGGATGAAAACGGCAGGAAGCCCCCCTGCCCACAGGACCAAGCCTATGTCCACACATCACCGGCCCTGAGGTGCTCAGGCCTGTCCCCTCCTCCATACCCTGGGTCATCATCCCCGCGGCTCAGCATCCCTTGAGCCTGCTGGTGGCCACCCAGCCATCCTGGGTGCACTGCCTGACCTACCTCTGCCCCCTCCCTGGCATCCCTAGACCAGGGTACCAGAGCCTCTGGCAACACTGCCTCAGTGGAGGGCAGCGCTCCTGGACCCACCCTTGATTCACTGGGTGGTGCTAGGACTGTTCCAGAAAGGCCTCTCCTGCAAACCAATGCTCCAGCTCTGCCTAGGGCAGTGGGAAGGCAGGAAGGGAGCTGCCCAGTGCTTCTGCTCTCACTGGCAGAGCTCAAGGACCCCAGGGCTCATACTCCACCTCCTGGTACACACACATGGAAGCCTCTACTCCCCTCCTGATCTCTGCAGTCTCAGTGCCACTGAGCATTTTGAACTCCACAGGGCCACCATGTTCCTACTGACTGTGGGGCTCCCAATGACCCCAGGCTGAGGGACTAGGTGACTCAGCATGAGGGGGAGGCTGGCCTCCCAGGGATTGACTCAGCCCTAGCAAAGATGAGCTCAGTGTGATCACTTATGGGAGGGTGGGCGGAAGTAGGGAGGGAGGCCAGGGGAGGGGATGCAGGCATGGGCAAGAGGCTGGGTAGAGACAAGTGGGTGACCTGGACCTCACAACCAGCAGTTAGGAAAGCCTGGCCCATGGGAGGGGCCAGCTGAGATCCCTGTCACTGGGTGGGTACAAAGGCTTGGCTGCTCTGAGACACTGCCCTCTTCAGGGCAAACGTGTCAGTGAGGCTCTGGCAGAGTCCAGCCCTGGCCGAGGAGCTGCTACCCACCCACTGACCTGTCTCTGGTGTGCAAGGTGGGCACAGAAGTCAGGGCTAGCCCACTAGGCAGGCTGTCAGATGGGCAGCTGTTCCCTCGCACCCACCCACATCCCCACAGCCCTCTCTTCTCCCAGAGCAAGATCCCACAGGAAACACGTGGGTCACCAGTACAAGACCTCAACTCCAGAACGCAAGGCAGCTGTTCTATACAAAAGAATTTAATTGAAATACCTGTATAAAAAATAGGATCTCCAGACATTTCACTGTTGAACTGAAAGAACCCCCCGCTCCCGATGCCTACTCACACCAGGGACACAGAAACACGGCCACTAAAATAAATTAAGGGCTTGAGACTCTGTCCTCCACCAACTTTCAGAGCCAGCAAGCAGACTGTACACTCAATAATTTAAAACCCACCCTCAGCGCAGAGTGCCCAGGGTGGGGATCGCCCACTCCCCTTAAATTAGCCACTGTACAATTCTTCCTCCCAAATAAATGGGGTGGGGGACCATCCAGGGCAGGGATGAGGACCTGGGTCCTGGCCAAACAGTCCCCCTCTCCTCTCCTCAGGCTCCAGAGGCCTGAGGCAGGGCTGTTCGGAGGAAGTAACCTCAACAAATAAATTAAACAATAAATAGCCCCAGTGGGTGGGGTGCTTCAAGGAGTCACATCATAAATAAGACGCTAGCGTGAGGACACAGCTCTTGAGGCGTGGGTGGGCGGCAGAGGCCCAACTTGCATTGCTTGTGCGTGGGCATGCCCGGAGGACACCGTGAGAGGGCAGGAGACGGGCACCCTGTGCCCACAGTGGGTGCTCCAGGGCAGACAAGGTCACATGGGAAGGCTGCCTCCTGGACCCAGCAGCACTGCAGGGGTCTCTGGTTCAAGTATCCACCCAGTGCAGGCGGATCCTTGAATTGCCCAGAGCCATCTTTGGACAGAAGAGCTTGAGAAAACTCAGTCCTGTGGAGCAGCGTTCAAAAAGGCACTCAAAGCAAAGGAAACAGGCCCGGTGCCAAGGGCAGAGGTCACCAGGGATCAGAGGTCACTGCTTTCCAAGAGAAATCAGGCAGCACAAGTCTGTATTCCAGGGAGCCCAGTCCCTCCTCACAAGCTCTCACTGCTAGACGTGGTGCTGGCCCCGTCTTCAGCATCCAGAACACAAAGCCTAAGGTCACAACTCTCAGGAGCACCTCCCTCTGGCCCCAGCATCCAGGGGTGGGCTGCGATCTGGTCTAGGGAAGGCCGTTCTGAAGGTCGCAGGGACAGACACCACTCAATGAGCTGCTGGCACTCTGTGGGGAAAGAAGAGAATCAGGGAGGGCCTTGGCACCCAGGGCGTTGCCTGCTCTAGAGGAGACCCTCCCTCAGGCACCTGGGGAGACCCATTAGCACCTGGGGAGATCCTCCTCCGGAAGAACAGGCGGCCCCGTAGGATCTCCTCATCCTGCTCAAAGGGGATATCACCGCAGACCATGTCATAGAGCAGCACGCCCAGGGACCATATGGTGGCAGAACGCCCGTGGTAGCGGTGGTAGCGGATCCACTCCGGAGGGCTGTACACTCGAGTTCCTAAAGGGTTACCAGATAATCAGGGTTGTGTATTCCAGACCATTAACTCCTCCCTGGCAGCCTCAAAATCCTGCTTGTCATCACCCTGGAAAAACCCCAGCACCAACAGGGCGGAGCCGCAGGGAAGCAGGAGTGGTCACATGAGCCAAAGCTCCAGTTTCACAACAAACAGATGCGCGCGGGGGGGCCGGCGGCGGCGGCACACCAAGCCCCAGCTCCACCTCGCCTGAGACAGGAAGGTGGAAGGGGGCGTTAGGGAGCTCCGGGTTCCCCAGCTCTGCAATGCGGGGATCTCTGCCTCGCACGCATACACACGCACGCACGCGCACGCGCAGGGGCGTCCCCAACCCGGCCCTGCGTCACTTGGGCTCCCCGAAGCCGCTGCGCCCCGCCCGCACTGCGCACCGTCGAAGTCGGTGTAGACAGTGTCCTTGAGCAGAGCGCCCGAGCCGAAGTCGATGAGCTTGAGCTCGCCCGCGCGCAGATCTACCAGCAGGTTCTCGTCCTTGATGTCGCGGTGCACCACCCCGCAGCCGTGGCAGTGACGCACGGCAGCCAGAACCTGTGCGAAGAAGCGGCGCGCCAGCGGCTCGTCCAGAGCGCCGCGCTCCGTGATGAAGTCGAAGAGATCTTGCGCGGGCTCCGGCCGCTCCAGCACCAGCAGGAAGCCGTCGGGCCGCTCGAACCAGTCCAGCAGGCGGATCACGCCGCGCGCACCGCCTGCCGCGCCCACCTTGCGAAGCAGCACTACCTCCAGGGGCACCACAGCGCCGCCCTGGGAACGCAGGGAACAAGGGGTCAGCGTGGGGCCGAAGCGGGGGGTCTGGGGTCGGAGTGGGGCACGCGGGGGTCAGCGCGGGCCAGAGTGCGGGGTGCAGCGATCAACAGCAGGCGGGAGGAGATGCAGAGACCAGCACCGGGCATAGGGAGGGGACATGGCGATCACCGCCGGGCAGTAGCTGGGGACGACGCCGAGCCCCCTCCCGCGCCAGCACTTACGAGGCTGCCCCACTCGGTCACCCGCTCCTTCACCACGTGCTTCACGGCCACCTGAGGGGAGACGGGGGCGGTCAAGGCTGCGGAGAAGCGAGGCGTGGCGCGCGTGATTCCGGTCCTCCCGGCGCCCGACTCACCGGGAGCCCGTCAGCGAGGCGGCTGCCCGCGTAGACCGTGCCGAAGCCGCCGCTGCCTAGCACGGCGCCCACCTGGTACAGCTTCTCGAAGCTCTCCTTGTCCGCCTTGGCTGTGAAGACGCGGGAGGGTCCATAAGGGCCGGGGATCTCCCCTGCCTGCCTGCCTGCCCGGTCGGCCGCGAGCGTACCTGGCTGCAGGAGCTTCGCCGGGAGGTGCTCCACGCCGCCGGGCCCGCAGAGGTGCGCCAGGGAGCCGAACTTGGAGAGCAGCATCGCGGGCGGCCTCGCCTCGCTCCCGACCGGCGCGGATGCGAGACAGTGGCCTCCCGGGCCGCGCCGCACACCGGGCCTAGGGGCCCGAGGCGGGCGCTGACAAGGCGACCGCAAGGCGCAGTCGGCCGGACCGCGAGAATACGCGGAGAGCGCAGCGGGCCGACAAGCTCACCCGCCCCGGCCGCCTCGCCCCGGGGTTTTGGGTCGCGGCGCCACGTATCCCTCCGCAGGGGCGGGGCCCACCGAGTCTCCGCCCCCTTCCTCTCCCGGCCTGCGCGGCGCCGCGACCCGCAGCCCGCCGAGGCTGTAGTGGGGGAAGCCCAGTGCCGCCTACCCCGTCTGCGAGCGTTGCGTGGCAGGAGGGGCCTGGCGACCCGCCGGGACTAGGTTGCTGTAGTAGTGTCGCGGAGGCACACAGCGTGCTGCGGTTCTCCACCGCGCTCACTCATTCTGCGCACGCGCAGCTCTGGCGCGGACGCTGGCCGCGACGCCTCCGGGCGAGGCCACGCGAGCCAATGGGAACCGAGGTTTTGAAAGGACCCCGGGGTTCCCGCCAATGGCGGGATGCGTGAGGGGAGGGGGTCGAAGGTGCCGATTCCCCCCTCCGCCTCACCGAGAAAGGTCAACGCCAGTGTGGCGTTACTCGCGCGGATCTCCAGCTGGGGCCGGATGGGCGGCTTGGTGCTGAGGAGACGCGGAAGTCCACGTGGGGCCCCCGCACCGCCTCGGGCCTTGCGGTGATACACGTCGTGCGAGTGCGTCACTGCCGGTCTGCGCTTCCTAGCGCGCACGTGGCCCGCATGGGGACTCGCACGCACCTGCAGAGACCCCCCCCCCCGCCTTCAGTGGCTCGGGACGCGCCCCCCGGGAGCGGCGACGACGGGCAGGAGCCCGGGCGCCCCCACCCCGGCTTAGCTCCGACCTGGCGCCTGCAGCCCGAGCTCGAGCTGCCCCTCCCCGCGCTCCCGCCCTGCTGGCCTGTGCCCGAGTGCTCTTCACTTGTTAGCCACTCGCCACCATCTGGCTGCCCTCTGCCAGGCTCCTGGCCTGCTGCGATGGCTGCGGTTTGGGCCATGAGCCCCTGGCCTCCACCTGCACCTCCTCTGCAGACCAGACTCACCTGTGTGGTGTGACCTGGCCCAGCTGGCGGCTGACCTCAGCCCAAGGTCACTGGTTCAAGCGGCTCAGGACTGAAGACGTGATTGGCTCCCTGCCGGTTCTGCAGTCCTCAGGGTTGAGGGCTGACAGACCAAGGAGGCTATTGTCCCCAGTTAGTGTCCATTCCAGGGCTTGAGCGCTGCAGCAGATGTTCCTGGGCCAGATGGGGTGGGTGACCCTCTGCTCCCCCACACCACCCCAAGCCTGCCTTCCACGCCTCTCCCAGCCAGCACCATCCCTGTGCCTCTGCTAGTGGCACTGACTGCCTCACCCCTCCCTTGTTCTGATGCCAAGGGTAAGGCCAGGGCCCACTTTCCCACCCAGCGGCTCTAGCTCGCTCTCAGAACCTGCACTGCCCCCTGGGCCCACACCTTGCTGGTGGTAGTCCCTCTCCCGACTCACCGCCTACCTTTAGCACCTTGCTGCCTTCACCCCCACCCCCACATCTCTACCAGCCTTCTCCGTGTCTTGAGGAGCACTCAGGTTCTCAGAGCCCTGTCTGGTTCTTCCCTTGTATTTGGCCTTGCATTAGCTAGCTTGGGGGGGGGGGGGTAACTATGGCCACACCTTGGCCTGCACAGATCCCCCAGGGGGTCAAGGCCCCTGTCTGAGCCCTGCCAGGGAGAAGGCAACAGCCCACTTGCCCAGGGCCTGCCCTGGACGGTCAGGTTGTGCTGGGCCGTAGACTTTGAGGTTAGAGAGCACAGGGAGCACGGTGGAAACCAGAGGTAGACCTTGCTGGCCAGTTCAACAGCTGAGAGGGGCTGGGCTCCCTACCCCACGTTTGAACTCCAGGCCAGTATTCTCCCAGCCATCCTGGCTCGGGCCTGGCTGGTCCCCAGCTGACTCAGCCCTCTGGAGGCCACAGTCTGAGGAGAGGCACCCACCCTGTTCACACAGGCTCTTGAGTTGTGCTCTGAACACCCTGAGCCCCCAAAACTGGCAGTGCTATGAACTCCCAGCACCCACACTGGCCCTCCTCTGCCTCACTCTGAAGGTGACTAAGACCCTGACATGCAGAGGCTCCTGGCACACAGAGGTTCTGTAGAACCTTCTGGAGGGATTCATGGGTGGGGAAGGGTCCACAGCCTGATCTAGAGAACAGGGCTGTGCAGGAGGCTGCCCCTCCCGGGGGGGGGGGGGCTCTCCCCAGCCTTCTTTTCTCTGGACAGTCTTGGGTTGTGGGTTCGCTGTTGTGTATGCCTCTGTGTGTGCAGGTAACAGGACCCTGAGCTGACCGTGGGCTCCATGACCAGAGTGGCTCCTGACCCCCTTCAGCGCTGTCCACCTATAGCAGGCCTCCAGACCCCATCTGGCCTAGGAAGTGGGCTGGTGAGGGCCTGGTCTCTAACTTCAGCCACCCAGACCACCATGACTGTTAGAGGGTCGCATTGGAGACCCGTGTCCCCAGATGACCCTGCCAGCTACCCAGGTGCAGTCCACCACATTGCTCAGCTTGGTCCATGTGCCCAGAGCACCCAGCCCTTGGGTCTGATCAACACCCCCAGCCAAGGCTCCCCCCATAGTGCAGGCACCAGTCCCACCTGGTTTTTCATGGTTCTTAGGAGGCCTTAAAGACACCCCCCCTCCCGCAGCAGAGCCAGGTCCTCCTCCAATGGGAGTGGCCAGCCCAGAACATGGCTTGGTGGGATTAACTCTGCCTCCACCTACAGATGCCCAGTGCCCAGGCCAGGCTGCCCAATCTCTGCCTGCTTGGCCTCTTCAGAGCAGGTATCCTTCCAGAGGCTCAGTGCCCTGGCCTAGCCCCACCTATCCTGTCCCCATCAGCTCCTGGCCCTGGAAACAGTGAACTCCATGGGCAGGCAGCTCCACCAGGCCACCCTGTCCTGCTGGTGGGAGGGGGCTGTGCTGTTGCCATGGCAACAGGTGAGTGCTGGTTCCCAGGATGAGGGAGGAAGAAAAGCGTTGGATGGAGGGTAGCCCACACCCCTACATCCCCCTCACTTGTAGGTGCTCACACCTGTGATAGCTGACACATGCTTGCATGCACATCATGCCTACAAACACACAGAGCCCCCACCAGCTGGGGCAGTGCAAGAAGAGTGGGGTAGGGGGATTGATTCACCCAGGGGCATGTCCCCTACACGCCCCAGCTGTCCTGCCCTGGCTCCTTCAGGCCATGCTGGACCCTCCTGTCCTCCGAGGGCCTTGTCTTCCCCAGCCCCCAAGCCAATGGCAAGACCTCCTCAGTCAGTCTGTCCAGGTTTCCCCTGGGTCCCCACAGGGCTCCCAGCACTGACCTGGCTATGTCTGACACGCTTGCAGCCTGACCTTGCCTGGGCTCCCTGCGTGGGCCCCTTATGGCCCACCAAGGCCTACGGTTCTGTCCCACCACCCACTGGACGCCGTCTTCTGCTCTCATCCTTGTCCAGGGCCCAGACTTGGCCAGCACCACCAGGGTCAATCCCAGTGGTGCCCAGCACCCCCCAGGTTTCTACTGCAGGAACAGGTGGCCTTGCCAGGACTGGCCACCCTAGTCCCCTCAAGTCCTGGCTCGAATGTACTCCCCTTGCCAGCTATGGCGCCCAGGCCCTGCTGGGAGCTGTGTGGGTTAACCCCAGCCCGAGCCTGCCCCTGCCAGGGATCGGTGAGGGACCCGCAGGCCCTTGCCACCTGCCCTACCCACCTGCCTGGGCTGCCGTCTGTCCCTACGCCCGGCTGTACCTCTCACCTCGTGGGGAGAGGAGCCAGCAAAGCTGGCCGGGATTTTGCAACGATTCACCAAAGGCGTCCTGGGCTGGGAATGCTCTGCAGGGACAGGGATGGCAGCCTGTGTGAACTCTGGCCCAGATGCGCTATCCCAGAAGCTGCTGGACACTAACTCCCTGCCTCAGGGCCAGCCCGTCCTGACCCCTCAGTGTGCTCACCTCTGCCATGGGGGACCGTTTGCCCACCTGCATGAGCAGTGCCCCTGGCCTTGGCAGAAAAACACCCCCAGAAGACAAAGAGGATGCTATGGAGCATCTGGGCCTAAGCCAGGCCCTCGACACAGCCAGATGCCTCCTGTACTCCCTGTGGCACCCCACGCTGTCTGCACTGCAGACTGCGACGATGTTGGGCAAGGTGACATTGGCCCACCTGCCCAGTTGGATCCGTCAACCCAGAGAGCTGTGGTCTTGCTCTCCATCCCGAGCCAGGCCCCTGGAGCCTGCCAGAGTGGCAGGGGCTAGGGCCCAGCAGGTGGGTGAAGGTGGCTCTCTAGACCACGTATCTGGCCTGTAGTCAGGCCCTGCTGTCCACAGTGTTGGGGTTGGGCCAGATGTAGCCACCTCGTGCAGCCTTGAGTCTCTGTAGTGGGGCCCGTGGGTAGCATCACAGGACTCCCTAGGATAAGGCAGCCTTGAGGGAGCAACATGCATTCCAGCAACTGGGCCACCTCAGGTCCTCCTGGGGCCTGGCAGGTCTACATGGGGCTAAGGGAACAGGTCAGCTTGTCCTTCCCATGGGCACAGCCTCAGCTCCAGGCTGGGGACATTGGGAGGTTCAGGGGGAGAGTCAGGCTTGGGCTTCCTTGGCTGGGGTCCCCGAGGGGCCAGCACCATGCTGTGCCTGCCTTTCCACTGCAGAACTCAGGATCCTGAGGTTCAGACACTCTGGGGAGGTGGCTGGGCTCCACGGCTGGGTCAGAACAGGGAGCCACAGGGAGGAGGGGACGAAAAGCATGTGCAGGCTGGGGGTTGGGGGTCAGGGCTGTAAGGCTTGGAGCCAGCAGAGAGGTCTCCCTGAAGGGCAGGGGCTGGTGGCCTAAGTCCCGGGGGCCTTTGGGGACCTGGGGCCCAAGGCCAGTGGGCTCAATGATACTGAGCTCTGAGGTACTGTGGATGTCCCCAGGGCCAGCTAGTGCTGAACCATCTCTGGATGCTCCCCAGGTGGCCGGGCTCAGCGTGATCTCGGTCTTAGGGACACAAATTCAGTAAGCACTGGCTGCATATCTGCCAGGGCACTCCCATGTACCCCATGTCAGCTTAGAGGACTGCCATCAGGCCTGGTGGTGAGGGAGGGTGGCCTTGGCAGGAATGGGGACTTGGGACAGGACGAGTCCCGTGGGTGGCAGGCAGCTGGCCCTGCTGGGCACTCAGACAAGGGTGTTGCTGCCAGCACATGAACTCTGCCCAGGAACAGGTCAGGGTTGGACACTGTAGGGCAGGACTGTGAAGTGTCAGGCCAACTCCTCTGGCCTTCCCATTCAGCTGTGGAGCACCCACGTACCCAGACACAGTGGGTCTCCTTCAGTGGCTCAGAGACAGACCTTGGGGTGAGGAGCGAGTCCTCCAGGCCTGGGCTCAGTGGGGGTAGTCAGTGGTTCTGAGGGGCAACCATCAGGGCCTGTAGACCTTGGGCTTAGGGAGGAAAGACCAGAATCCGCACCTAGAGGTCCACGGCACTGGAGGCTGCCAGGAGCATGCTCTTGCCTCCCTACTTCCCTGCATGGCTCCCCTCAGGCCAGGCCTTTCTGGTGGGTGGCCACAGAGCTGGTTCCTAGGAGCATCCTTAGGGGTAACCTGGGGCAGGAACAAAGAGGCACAAGGGTCACTTGGATCCCAGGATGCTTCAGGAGCAGAGGGGCTTGGGGACCTGGCCCCGGAAGTGTCTCATAAGAGGATGGCAGCATTCACAGCCCCCTGGCCAGGCTAGATGTGTTTGATGACCCTCAGCTTCGGCCCAAGCAGTCACCCCATCCCAGCCAGAATCCTGCATCTCCTGGGCTGTGCCCACGCAGCCCAGTCTGCTTCCCCAGTTTGTCCTGGGGAAGGGCCAGAGGAGATATGATCCAGAGCTGTGGGTGTCTGGCCTCAAGCCTGAGTCTGGAGGAGTGAGGGGCCCCCTGACCCCAGGGCCTGGGAGGCCTGGAGGGCCTGAGCAGGGCACCCAAGGGGGAGAGGTGGGCTCTTTCCTTATTGCACAGCCACTTCCTGTTCCGGGGAGTGAAGGGGTCTGGGGAGGCTCCAGGCAGCCCAGAAGCAGAGCCAGCCTCTGGTGAAGCTCAGCTCCCCCGAAAGCACACATTCACTCTTGCCTGCCCCCAAGCCGCAGCTTCCTGGAGGAGGTGCTGGTGCCTGGAGCTAGCCTACCCTGACCTGGGGGATGTGGAGACCATCCCATGGCTGGTCAGTCTG